CAATGATATCAGTATCCTTCTTGGATATGGTAATGGCTCTTTTGAAAATCCAATGATATATTCAACTGGCTCTTACCCATGGTCTGTGGCTGTTGGTGATTTCAACAACGACACCCGACTGGATATTGTTGTTGCCAATTATGGTAGCAATAATGTCAGTGTATTACTGCAATATAGTGCAGGAACTCTTGTAAACACAATGACCTACGCATCTGGCGGAGGTTCGCGCCTTCGATATATTGTCGTTCGAGATGTGAATAATGATTCTCGACTGGATATCATTGTTGCTAATTACGGCACTAGTAACGTAGGTGTTCTTCTTGGAAATGAAAACGGTACTTTTGGGAGCCAAACGATGCTCAGTACTAACCCAAATTCTCAACCCTCGTGTATCGCCATTGGTGATTTCAATGGTGACAATCTACTAGATATTGTCGAGGCTAATTATGGCACTAAGAATGTAGATGTGCTATTTGGAAAGGGGGACGAAACATTCCAAATCCAAACGAGTGACGAAATTGATATTAGTTTCACTCCATCTGTTGTCGCTTCCGGTGATTTCAATAATGACGGACAATCGGAAATTATTGTCGCATATGATGACAGTGATAATGTGGACATTTTTGTTTCGTATGACATTGGATCGTTTGCAAATCAAGTAACATATTCAACTGGCGATGGCCCATGCTCTGTAGCTGTGGGTGATTTCAACAACGACGCCCGACCAGACATTGTTGTTGCTAATTGGGGTAGCAATAGTGTTAGTATCCTTCTTGCATATGGTAATGGCTCTTTCTCGAATCAAATGAGATATTCAACTGGCTCTAATCCATACTCTGTAGCTGTTGGTGATTTCAACAGCGACACCCGACTGGACATTGTTATTGCCAATTGGAATGAGAATCATGTCAGTATCCTTCTTGGATATGGTAATGGCTCTTTTAAAAATCAAATGATATATTCAACTGGTATTGGGCCACAATCTGTAGTGGTTGGTGATTTCAACAACGATGCCTGGTTGGATATCGCTGTCGTCAATGTATGGAGTGATGATGTCAGTGTCCTTCTTGGATATGGTAATGGTTCTTTTGCAAATCAAATGAGATATTCAACTGGCTCTAATCCATACTCTATAACTGTTGGTGATTTCAACAATGACACTCAACTAGATATTGTTGTTGCCAATTCGAGAAGTTATGATATCAGTATTCTTCTTGGATATGGTAATGGCTCTTTCGCAAGTCAAATGAGATACGCAAGTGGCTCTAATCCATACTCTATAGCTGTTGGTGATTTCAATAACGACACCCGACTGGATATCGTTATTGCCAATTGGGATGAGAATCATGTCAGTGTCCTTCTTGGATATGGTAATGGCTCTTTTGCAAATCAAATGATATATTCAACTGGCATTGGGCCACAATCTCTAGCTGTTGGTGATTTCAACAACGATACCCGACTGGATATCATTGTTGCCAGTTCGGGAAGTGATAATGTCAGTGTCCTTCTTGGATATGGTAATGGCTCTTTTGCAAATCAAATAACATATTCAGCTGGCTTTAATCCATACTCTATAGCTGTTGGTGATTTCAACAATGACACCCGACTAGATATCGTTATTACCAATTATGTTAGCGACAATATTAGTTTCCTTATTGGGTATTCTAAGAAAGTTTTTGTAAAGGCAACAACACTTACAACTGGTGATGGTTCTCAACCACGATCATTTGCCATTGGTGACTTTAACAATGATGTTCGAATGGATATTGCCATTGCTTATTCGGGAACTCATACTATTGGTATTTATCTCGGATACGGTAATATCTCTTTTGCAAATCAAGTATTGTATTCAACTGGTCCATATTCATCGCCATATTCTATAGCTGCTGGTGACTTCAATAACGATACTCACCTGGATATCGTCGTCGCCAATTACGGTTCTGACAATGTGGGTATTTTCCTCGGATATGGCAATGGATCCTTTACAAGTCAAATGATATATTCAGCGGGCTTTAGTTCTGAGCCATACTTTGTAGCTATCGGTGATTTTAACAACGATTTCATACTAGACTTTATCGTTGCTAATTATGCAACCAATATGTTGGGTATGTTTCTTGGATATGGCAATGGCACATTTACAAGTCTTATTCCATTGTCGTTGGACTATGGGTCCCATCCATTCTTTGTTCTCGTTGGCGATTTTAATAGTGACAATAAGCTGGATTTGGCAGTGGCGAATGAAGGCACTGACAACTTAAATATTCTGTTACAGACTTGTTAATTTTTGTACCGCAGACATTATCTTTTTTTTTTATTATTATTAACTTGATGTATATTATCACATAAAGTGCAATTATTCTTCAAATATGCAAATGTGTTGCTTAAGTATGAAAGATGCAATCATTAAAATATGAAATACGATAGTGTTGTTGGAAAAGTACACAAAAAATTTTATGTATTCAGATATCTGACAGTACTTAGTATACTATGAAAACCCGTCACCAGGAAATTCTTCGAAGGTGAGAGTGAATATGATTAGACATTATCGGTTTCATTCTTGTTTGACAACAAGAAATCATGGGAAAACTGAAATTTATCAAGATCGAATAGAATTCAACAAAGACAAAAAATTGGATTGCGACTGAGAATATGAGTTTAGCATAAAGTCCTGAGAATGACAAAAATAACTTTCAATTCTACCCGTCTACAATTATGTCATATATAAAAAATTTTATTGAATATCAGCGTTGATATGATTCAAATAGTACGAATGATTAGTAGAATGAGGATTGTGAAAGTAGAATAGGACTAGATGCTATATCTTCGAATGACCAATTAGTTCTTTTAACAATGAAAATGAAGAACCATTTCATAGAATCTACCAGCCATATTTGAAAAGATAAAAATATTAAATTGTGGTTTCGAATTTGATCAAAGTCTCATGATAACTTAAGTTTCATCCAACCGCAATATATTTCTACGCTACGCTCATTTGAAGTGTATTCGTTCAGTTTTGTTTCAATAGTTAATTACATTGATGCGTTTTCTGATGAAGAAATAATA